GCTGTGGCACGATCTTGGCTCACAGTAACCTCCACCTCCTGGGTTCAAGCGATTCTCCTGCCTCAGCCTCCCAAGTAGCTGGGATTACAGGCGCCCGCCACCACGCCCAGTTAATTTTTGTATTTTTAGTAGAGACAGGGTTTCACCATCTTGGCCAGGCTGGTCTCGAACTCCTGACCTTGTGATCCACCTGCCTTGGCCTCCCAAAGTACTGGGATTACAGGTATGAGCCACCACGCCTGGCCTTTTCCTCTTTTCTTTAATCTGAAACTCCATGCTTCAAAACCCAGCTCAGTTTGTTGTTCCTCTATTGGACTTTCCTCAACTCTTCCTGACAAGTAGTGTCCTATAACATTTAAAAATATTTCTATTCTAGTACTTTTGAAAAATCATGGCATACAGTACATGTGTATCTATTATAGTATGTATGACAATACAGACATTCTGGCAATGTCTCTAAGTAGACTATTCTCTACCTTGACTGTCTTAATCATTTTTATACACTCAGGGCTAAACAGTAGGACCATTTAACAACAAGTAAAGAGGTGAATGAACAAACTCTGCCTTCTTGACCCATCCCACCACCTTTGATCTATCTATCTAAGATCCAGGCATTTCAGACATTATGCATATTTAAGAATAGGAGGGGCTGGGTGCGGTAGCTCATGCCTGTAATCCCAGCATTTTGGGAGGTTGAGGCAGGTGGCTCACTCGAGGTCAGGAGTTCGAGACCAGCCCGACCAACGTGGTGAAACCCTGACTCCACTAAAAATACAAAAATTAGCTGGGTGTGGTGGCGCACAACTGTAATCACGGTGACTTGGGAGACTGAGGTAGGAGAATCGCTTGAACCTGGGAGGCGGAGGTTGCAGTGAGCCGAGACCATGCCCTTGCACTCCAGCCTAGGCAACAAAAGCAAAACTCCATATCAAAAAACAAACAAACAAAAAAATAGGAGGATATCCTGGGTCTTAACAGCATAGTTTGATTAACATAAACCACACACAGACAATAAAATAAAATATAATTAACATTAATCATTTAATCTTGACAATTAAGGACTGACCCTTTAGGATCTTTCTATGGGGGGTACATTATGATGAAAATCAATTAGGTGAACATCATTGATCCCACCTCCATCATCTTGCAGATGAGAAGTAAAAAAGCATTTTCTGATTCCTCAGCCATAACTAGGAAATTGTTCTCTTCAAGAAATACTAGGCCAGGCATGGTAGCTCACGCCTGTAATCCCAACACTTTGGGAGGCCGAGGCCAGGGTGATCACTTGAGGTCAGAAGTTCGAGACCAGCTTGGCCAACATGGTGAAACCCCGTCCCTACTAAAAATATAAAAATTAGCAAGGCATGGTGGCAGGTGCCTATAGTCCCAGCTACTTGGGAGGTTGAGGCAGGAGAATCGCTTGAACCTGGGAGGCAGAGGTTGCAGTGAGCCAAGATCGTGCCACTGCATTCCAGCCTGGGCGACAAAGCGAGACTCCGTCTCAAAAACAACAACAGCAACAAAAACTGGACATCAAGTTATTGACCTAGATTATTTGGCTCTTCCTATCAAGAACGGTTTGCCTTTCTAGGGAGTAAAATGGAGATATAACCTAGTTTCAAAGAATGGCTGAGAAAATTAAGAGGGGTAAAGTATATAAAGCACTTGGCATCTCGTCTGACCAATAAATGTTACAATCATGATCATTTATAAAGGTGGCAAAAGCATTCCAACTACATGATATTTTCACTTGCTGAGATTACGAACACTCGGGATCGTACCCAGTGGACATTCATATGCAATGGTTTTTAAGTTGCTAGGGACTTACACTGTCTTTCTCGGTGGCCTCTAAGCATATGAGAAGCTTTGGCTGTTCAAGTCAGCAAACAATGATAAAAAATTCTGTGGTACAGTACATACCCAATACCCTGAAAAAGTCTGCAGCAGCTGCTACAATTACAAATAGAAGCCTTAATTCCTCAACACTCAGGTAACTAGCTGAACAGTCAGTTGACTTACTGCACTTGTGCTGTTGGTTACATTTTTCTACCTACAGCAAATGGCCACTACTTAACAGGGCATTGCTACAAATTGCCTCAGGTCCCATATTTTATATATTCTACCCTTATACAACTCTAAGGGATAGATACTATGTCTCCCTTTAAAAAATTTGCTTCCAGTGCCAGGCTGGGGCTTCACATCTACAATCCTAGCACTTTGGGAGGCTGAGGCGGGTGGATCTCTTGACCCTAGGAGTTCAAGACCCGCCTGGGAAACACGGTGAAACCCCATCTCTACAAAAAATACAAAAATTAGCCAGGTATGATGGCGTGCACCTGTAGTCCCAGCTACTCAGAAGGCTGAGGTGGGAGGAAGGCTCGAGCCCGAGAGGTTGAGGCTGCAGTGAGCTGTGATCACGCCACTGCACTGCAGCCTGAGCGATGGAGATACTATCTCAAAAA